TCACAAGAAGCGTCAAATTGCGTTTTTGTAAAGCAAACGTTATTTCGCCACAAATGTAATAAAAATTATTAACTAAATTTACACATTTCCGTGGCATGTTGATTTCTCTCTTTAAAACACTCCAAAACAAGATGATATGCACGAAATACTATAAATTTCACTGTATATAGTATCACACTTAGTAATATTTTGGCAGTCAAATTATAATTGGACATGATAAGAAGTGAATTGCAAAATATTAACCGAGTATTACGAAAATTAAAGGAAAAAAATTATACTTTAAATAAATTATCAGCTGATGAAATACAAATTTTACCGAGACAGTACCTGTTGGATCATGTCAGTTATTTGGAGCGATACTATGCCTGGGATAAATTACCGAAATATTTAAAAGAAGATGAAGAATTTAAACGGGAATACCCATGCTTTGAACATTACAATAAAGGGATAGTGCAAATTGATGGCCCTGCCCTACATTGCAGAGAATGTGACACAGACTCACATATAAATAGTACTCAGTAGTAGTAGTAGTAGTAGTAATCAGTTCACTAAAAAATATTAGATAAAATATGTCTACCCAAGTGAAAAAAAGTGTAGTTAAGGAGATTCATCGACTTGCTAGGAAGAATTTCAAACGTTGACGTGTAATTATTAAAGGACTATCTGATTTATATCAAAGTGATCTAATTGAATTAAGAGAGTTTGCAAAAGATAATAATAATTACAAATTCATTTTAATTGTTATCGATTGTTTCTCAAAATATGTATGGGTACAAGCTATTAAAGATTTACAAACTGACCAGGCAAAAGAGTACTACAATCATCAATTTAACTCTTTAATGGAAAAATATAAAATTAATCACTGTAACAGATACAACGTGAAGAAAGCGTCCATTGTTGAACTTGTATTTTCAAGATCTTACACCCAACTGGATAACTGAACTATTTAAAGTTGCAAAAATTAATTATACCTACCCGTATACATATTTATTAGAAGATTTAAATGGTAATCCCATTAGCGGCGGTTTTTACACTGAAGAATTACAGAGAACAAAATATCCTGATATTTATTTAATTGAAAAAGTACTAAAACGTAAAAAATAACCTTTCCGTTAAATGGTTAGGATTTTTAGATAAATATAACAGTTGGATTAAAATATCAGATGTAGTTTAAATATGTATTATTTAAAAATTTTTATATATATTATATATAAATACGAAATATTTTATTCATTAAGCGGCTCTGTAAATAAAATAAGATTGTATGAATGTTAGTGGTTACAATTAAAGTATTCGTTTACTTACATTTTCCAAACTTCGAGTAAATTTTGGTGGTTTCTCATATAATATCGCTACCCACCTGCACCACCAAGGTAAATGAATTGGTGGAACTACCACCGCTACCATCACTACAATAAATTTTTCCTAAAAACAGATATAATTATCTGTTTAATATACAAAATACGAAATTAAATAATAATGTAAACTTACCGCTAAACTTGGGTGCAAAACCCCCTTTAAAAAATTATAATCTGCATCAATCATCTTTGCTTTGTGCGAGTTCGTATCAGCTTTTATACTATTTCACTAATAAATATTGGTTTCCTTGTTGGTAATTAATGCAATTAAGTTGATAAACAAATCAGTGGTTAAAAAAACAACACATATAAGTTAAGTTCTTTGATTATTTAGTAGAAAATAAAATGTTTTGTTCCTTGACCAAATTCAACTTTATTTTATGTGTACAGGTCGGCGTCATAAATCGTTCTGCCTTTTCTTACAGTATTGGATTTAAACATGTATTTATTACACGTGACCAAGAGAATAACAAAAAAAGTGATTCATACTAGTCGCCGGCTAAGTAATACATATTGATATTGAACATAAACAAACATAACATATTCGAGAACAATCTCGCAACGCTTATCAATTTGACTGCCGAGTCATTTTCTTTGTTTTCGTACGGTGTAGGATTATATGACATATATACATGGTATAGGCTATGTGCACGGGGGCGGAGTTAGACATACGAGGGTGGATTGATAAGTTTCCGGCCTGACCAAGAAAAACAAGGTTTTTAAAATTTTTTTTTTTTTATTTCTCAACATAATCTCCTCCAAGGCTGATACATTTCTCATAGCGGTGTTCCAGTCTATTAATGCCATCTCTATAGACTGATTCGTCAAGCTCCTCAAAATAACCATTTACAGCTTCGATTACTTCTTCATTGTCCGCAAATCTCTTACCGCCAAGCCATTTTTTGAGATTAGGGAACAGAAAATAGTCACTCGGGGCT